CTAATCCAGTTTGTACCACTTCCATTTATGATGCATCTACTCTCCCCATAGGAACTTCTTTTGGTGGGTGTGACAGAATCCAGGTCATGATGAGAAGTTCTGGCTCCCTAATCATGTTACATCCGTGTTCAGATGTTCCATCTCTCCTGAGGCCTAGGAGCAGATCAGAAGCTCTTTTTCTAATGTTGTAGAAGGCATGGTCTTGCTTAGAACCCTAGGATTCTGTATGGAATTCTCTAATTAGATCCTGCCAGAGGCTCCACAAAGCACCTTTCATCCTTGTAGTGTGGTTTGGATGGAGGTACGTGTGCAAGAACTTGTCCTTTCCTCTGGAGGTGTGTCCAGCACGTGACAGACTATCGGAACCCTAACACCTTCATTGTTGTAGCAGGTCAATGAATGATCACAGATGTGGATGTTCCTACAGCCCATGGAACTCTCCCATTTTGCTTAGATTGTTGATCACCAGAGCTGATGCTGTCCCTGTCAACAATGACAATGACAACACTGATTTTCTTCTGTCATCAGTATCAGCAGGCATGTACTTCCACTCTTTGGAACGCATGTGTCTTGCTAAGGCATTCAGAATACTTGCTATTTCTTGTCCATCATTAGCAGGAAATCTTCTAGCTCTCACCATTCAGTGTGATGTTAGAGGTAGGTCTGTAGGTTTTTGATGATTTGAGTCGATGTGAAATTGACTGGGAGGATGAACTCATCCATTTTCTCTGCTAGGTGGGGCCGGCTTTCTGAGCTCGCAATGAGTGCAATCACTTAGAAGGGCCTGGTGTAGGTTTCATGCTCTGCTTTCATCATCTTGACATTCTTCATGATTTTGAACAGATAGTCCTGATTTTCACTTTACAAAGAGTCATGCAGTTTATGTAGCTGGTTGTGGCCCTGGGAGTAACCATGGGTGCTTGGAATCCCTTTAGAAAGAAAAGGTTCAACTCTGTTTGGAGGTGCACTTTCACATTTGTCCATGAGAAGGCAGCAAGACCACAAGATAAACTGGAGCGTTGTGAAGAGAGATGAGGAAGAATTTGGCTTTTTCTATGCTTGTTGTGTCATTATATGTCTCCAGCTGTCCCTACGCTCATCCCCATTTCTTTTGCACACAGAGGAAAGGCTCTCCAGTTCTGGTGGACTTCAGAGATTCAAATTCTGGACTCCACATCCAATGGGGGAAAAAGAAATAGCATTTAGTGATTTGAATAGCCTTAAATAGCATTAAATAGAAGTCATGTCCACACGGACTGTTAGTCTTGGGGAAACACTGAAGTGATGGGGATGGGAAGGGGGTGCGTTATGGTGATAGGGAAGAAAGGAGTTGAGTCCTCATCTTCCAAGAGAGAAGACCTTAGATACTGACCAGAAGTGAAAATCAGTATGTAGCCTCAGAGCATGTTATTCAGAGATGACTTTGGTTCCGTCCAGAGGAGCTGCTGCTGTTTGGGGCAGATCTCCTCCATGTGGTCCAGACAGGAGAAGCCAGGATCTTCCTGTGATCACTCTGAACAGAACACACAGAGACCCTGGGCTTATCATGGCCAAGTCCAGTGTTGTCACAAATACAAGAAAGAGAACATCCAACAGGTGGAAGACCGGATTGGTTTTGCTCACAGTGTGAATATCAGGAATAGAATAATAATTTCATCATTCCAGCTACAGTGGGCTGTGTGACAAGTTAAAATAATCTTGAGTTTGAAGGTCATCCACTTCAAAAAAGATATGTCCCCTTTGGGCAAGCCTCACACAGCTGATTAAGAGTCTTTCTGGAAGCTCTAACATGCTGGGTCTTGGTCCATATGACATATGATGAGGACTGACTTTTTCTCTCTGTTTTTTTGACATCAGAGCCAATGGCATGAAAAAATCATAATCTTTGATTCATGACCCAGTATCATCACCAGTCCATAAATGACCTGCCTTCCTTTTTAGAGAACTATTACTTATTTAACTTTACTTTTACTTTTGACATATATTAGGAAGCAGATTCAAGTGGCAGTTTCTAGAAAGATCCTCAAAATCAGGACTGGAGATTCACCTTGCTAAAGAAGCTCTCTCTACTTCCTGGAAGAAAAAACTGGGAAATCAAGATGCTGTGCTGGTCTTGGGCCACAGCACCACTGCAGTTTATCAGTAGAGACAAGCTTCAGACTGACTGGCTCTATGGCCCTGAGCGCTAGGAAAGGCTCCAGCTGCATTTCACAAGAACCACTTCATTCTTCCACATCTCACGCATGTGATTCTTTGGTCAGAGATTCCAGGAATTTCTCAGGCATTCATGTATTTATCAAGGGGCTTGGAAGATAATTAGTTGAGTCAATCTGGTGTTTCAATCCTGGATGTGATGAGTCACCTCCAATGTTATGTGTCCACAACCAAGACCTTTATTCCTCCACCTCCCAACCTGATCCTGCCGGAGTCCTCATCTTTGGAGTGAAGGTCAACTTCATCCTGGTAAAATGAATGAGGGAAACCACACAACAGAAGCCTGTTACCATCTTATGACACCTGAGGGTCAGAGCACATTCAGTGTAGACATAAGGGCACTGGCATCAGCATGAGAGGAGGCCAGCAAGTGCCTGTGGGTGTCCCAGAGATGGGCTTTTACCCCTGGTACAGTCAGGAGGGAGGACAGGGCCTTCCTAACAGTGAGAGGTTGGATCCCCATTTGTCTCAGAAAAATCACACCGTGTCCTCATCTCTACCTTGTGAGTGACTTCTCCTTAGAGGGCCTGGGCATCATGATAGCCTGTGTCCTTCTCCTTCTCACAGAGACCTGCCCTGACACAAAACGTGGATTTTCCACCCCAGGTAAAGTTACCACCAGGGAAATCAGAGTCCCACTTGGATCACAAAGGAATTCGTGGGTGACTTCCTGTTCCCATGGTCCCTGGTCTGTAGGGACACATGGCTGTGGTCCCCTAAAGACATCTCACCAGCCCAAGGTGTCTAGCTGAACAAGGGAATCCACCCCCCCAACCCCGGGAGAAGACAGGAATTGAAAGACATGTGTGCTTCCATCTCACAGAGGCAGACGGTTGCACAGGGGCCTCCCCTCCTGTAACAGAGCAACCCACGGAATCTGCTGCTGGGTCTCCATACGGAGCTGCTCCAGGTCCTGGGCCCTGTACGGAGAACTAGAAAAGACTAAAGGCAGGGACAAAATGACTTGGATGCAAGGGCCAGGCCTTGAGACTATCCAGCATTGCCTTGAGACCTCAAGCGATCACTCACTGGGCCCTTCCTTTGAAACTTGAGCATCAAAGAGCTCCTCCCGAGGCAGCACATCCAATAATCAGTACAGGGCACTGGATCAGGAGTCCAGTGGACAATGCCTGTGCTATCCCTGGGCTCATCCTGCACTGGGATAGGATCAGGCTACCTGGGGACCCACAGTGACCAGGACACAGGATGATGGGACCCTTCAGGCTGGAGTTCAGAGCCCACCTCTGTCCAAGGCCCAGGGCCAGTTCACATTCTCTGGAGCCAGGTCAGCATCCCTGGTGCAGCTCCTGACATGGACTCATGCCTGCTCATGGCCTCCAGGGGGTGAAATTGGGACACATGGACAATTAGCAGGAAATTAACACCTGAATGTTGCTTTGGCTCAGGAGATAGAGAAAGAAACTGATTTTCATCCTTTGATTCAACAGATCCTTCTGGGCCCCTCATATGTGCTTGCTCTGTTCTGCCTGTCCCTTCTGAGAGCCTCAGAGCACCCTGCTTTGTCAGGGGTCCCTGTAGGGCTCTCTACTCCTGCCTGTCCTATGCTTGGGGAAGGCAGGTGACCACAGGAATGTCAGTCAGGCAGAGGACAGAGGCCCCCAGGAAAGTCTAGGAGCACAGGCTGTGAGTCACAATTCAGCCAACACACACAGAGCGGGCCTCCCTAAAACAGTCTCCGTAGGACCACGAAGACCACAACCACCTGCCCTCCCACCACCATGGTCCTCTCACCCAGGACATGCAGGAAATCTTCCTCTACACATCTGGTACTGCAGTTCCTTCTGAGAAACCTATACTCAGTGTTTGTCCCTGAAAGCAGAGCCAGGTTGGTGACATCAGAAATGGGGGACAGGTCCCCTCACCAGTCATTACTCAACTTGACCTTTCCTCACCCCCAGAGTCATCTCTGTGATCTTCCTGCTGGGAGTAAATACAACCTTCCCAGAGTATTTGAGGACACTGCAAAGACCCTGGTACCCAGCTAGGTTTTTTTGTCACAAACAGAAATAATTCCCTAGGTTTGGGGAATCCTCGGTGTCTGTGAGTGAGGTGTTGACAGACCCAAGGACAGGACACAGCAGTGGACAATGCTGGTGGAAGGCAGGTCATCTTCTCAGGGGACATGGGTCCCCATCAGCCTTGCTGTTGAAAGTGTGCTCCACAGGCAGGTGTGATCAGCATCACTTGATAGCTTGTTAGATGCAGACTCTCGGGTCAACATCAAATGTGCTGGGTAAGAATCTGCATTTTATTAGAAAATTCTGACTCTGAACAGGAGAAGGGGAGAGACCACTCCATCCTCCAAAAATGGTGCACAGTCTGGCTAAGTACCCACAAACATGCACAGCTGCTAAAGTAGCACTTCTATTGTGTCACCTGGACATTCCCAATCTTTATCAAGTTCCTCAGCTGATTCCAATACACAATGGTGCTGACATCCCTGTAACAAGAGTTCCTGGTGGAGCCTCTTGGCTCCTCTTCTTAAGGGAGAAGGAAGAAGGGGATGAGAGAGAAGAAGAGTGACTATGCACGCTGATCTGATGCTACGGGACAGCCCGGGACATGACGCCTTGGATTTGTGCTTGTCCAAACAAGGATGTATGTGTGTGTGTGGTGGGGTGGTGGTGGTGGTTGGGACTCCCTGTTGAAGACGGCAGAGGAATCAGCGGTTCCCAGGACCAGGAATACAGATAGAAGGGCAAGAGAAACAAAGGACAGGGGAATAAGGAATGAGAGGAAGGAGCAGAAGTGTCCTTGACAGAGACTCCACCCCTGCCCTCATGACCTGGCAAAGCACTCCTGCCCAAGAGGAGGCTCAGGACAGAGGGAGGAAGCACAGCAGAGCTGACACCTGGTGGGCAGCAGTGCTTCCGAGCTTCTCTGGAGCCCAGGCTCTTCTCACAGAGGGAGGGACAGAGCAGGCAGCAGCCACCATGCAATCCCTCTCAGCCCCTGCCCACAGAGGGTATGTTCCCTGGAAAGGGCTCCTGCTGGCAGGTAAGAGGGGATGATACCCTGAGAGTGGGTAGAGATGGGAGGATAGAGACGGCTGTGGTCTCTTAAGGAGGACAGGGGTTGGAGAGGGGCTAGAAGACTTCTGTTTGGACGTGATAGGAAAGGACATGGGAGCAGAGTAAGATCGGTGGAGGGGGCTCAGCAACAGGTCAATTTCATGATCTGGAAGTGGTGAGGGCCAGGAATATCTCAATTGCTCTACCTTTCCAAGTTAGTTATCACGGATCAATAATTTTTGAAAATAGATTACAATATTAATAATTTATTTGAGGATGACACCATTAAAAACTTAACTAGGGGCACTAAACATTGCCCTTCCCCATCACTAGAAATTGGCAAATAAATACCAGGATGGGGGAGCCCTCAGAAGACTTGTTCTTTCATCCACAGGTGTTCCCAGTCTTTTCCAGGCACAAGGGGTACGACAAGATCAGCAGATCCCTGCCCTCAGGAGCTCACATTCTGTGGGGATGAGGAGAGATATGCAAAGACATCTAGAATGTGAGGTCAGGGACTCACATTGTCATGAAGGGAAGAGAGCAGGGAGAGGTGAGAAAGTGAAGATGGAGGGTCTTCAGAACAGATGGTCAGGGAAGGCATCTCCCAAGGACACCTCTGAAGTTGCAGGGTGCTGAGGGCAGTGATGGAGTGAGCCAGGCAGACCTCTGGACAAGAGGATTGGGAACAAAGGAAATAAGCTCAGAGGGGCTGAAGAAATGGTACATGCTGATGACCTTGACCAGTAGAGAAACACACACACACACACACACACACACACACACACTACAAGTCTAAGAGAAGAAGAAACTTTCTCAAGACAGAGGGCCTCATCTTTGCATCCCAATCCACAAGTCTAAATATTGATCGATCTCTCTTTCTTCCCTCCTAGTCTCACTCTTAAGCTTCTGGAACCTGCCAACCACTGCCAAAATCACTGTTGAATCGTTGCCGCCCAATGCTGCTGAAGGACAGAATGTTATTCTAGTTGTCCAAAATCTGCCCAGGAATCTTCTAGGCTATAACTGGTTTAAAGGGAACAGACCAAGTCCCAAAACCGAAATTGCACATTATGATATAGACAGAAAAACATTGATCCCAGGGCTTGCATTCACTGGCCGAGAGGCAATATGCCCCTATGGATCCCTGCTGTTAGCGAATGTCACCATGGAGTACGCAGGAAACTACACGGTGTTTGTCATAAAGAGACGTCTGCAATATGAAGTAGCAATTGCACAGCTCCACGTACACAGTGAGTGACTCCTCTCTGATCTCTGGGTGTTGGATGGGGTGAAGTCTACTTCACACAGAGAATTTACTGGCCTTGACTGTGCCTAAATACCCCTCTGCATTATGTCCCATGCTGGGATTTGAGCATTTAGTGCAGGACACAAACAGGGGAGATGAACTTCAAAAGATGGGAATTCATTTTTGGGAATCAGACTGTTCAAACTTTCCCTGTGGAGATGAGGACCAGTCTGATGGGAATAACCCAGCAGAAGGAGATCAGTCTTGGTCCAGCCCTCTGGCTCCTCCCTGAGACCATGACACTGAGAAAGATCCTGCAGGGCTTGAGGATCCCTGGGATCCTCACAGAAAAGTCCAGCCGTGGACAACCCTGCTCAGAACCCTGTCCCAGCCTCCCGACTCCAGTGACTCTGGGGAGCCTGTGGCAGGGTTGGATTTTGGTATCCCGGGCAGGGCCAACTGGGAGCAATGATTTCCTGGCAGCCTGACTTCCAAAGCCCCTGAGCTTGTTACCATCCAGGTCTCAGCCCCAAGAGCCACATTTAAGCAGGGGCAGCGCCTGACTCTTGACCTGAGACTCAGCATGGAGAGCAGAGAGGGACAAGGCCCCCAGGCCATTAACCAACTGCTCTGTGGAATTTAGGACACTACAAGGGAAAGTCAGTCTCCCCAGGGGAGGAACAGAAGAGGGAAGATGCTGTTGACAGCTCATCCATCAGGGACCAGGCCCAGCGGCATTGTGTCTCCGAATCAAACAATAACAGATGCCATTTATTTGGGCAGCTCCTCCCTAGGAAGATTTAGTTCAGCTCCAGAGATGTTTTGAAGGTTAATTCATTGACCGCCTGGTAGTCAAACTTTTATTCTACTTCATTGAGGGGAAACTGAGGCACAGGGAGATGAAAGTAACTGGAACAGGGTCACACAGACCATGAGTCACATGACGTCTGTCTGCAGCCATAGCTCCATCCTCTCCTCCACTGGGGGACCTAATTAGGTGTCTGTGGACCCCGAGACCAGCTGTTGGTTCAGATCCTTCCTTTTTCATTGTCTGCAGCTCAGAGGGAGAGATTCTGCTCTGGGGAGTGACAGCAAATGGAAATTTCACCCGAGTTTACTCTAGAACCAAATTACCTGATCAAGAATCAGAGTCACTGCACGGAATGCCCAGGCTGCCCCCTCAGGTGGCTGATCCAAGCTCCCTGCACTGGACTTGAAATCGCTTATTTGTTTCCTAATGTGTTGGGGTCACTGCCACTGGAGGATAAGGAAAGGACTTTGTAGTCTCACTCTCCGCTCTACATCTGCAGCCAGCCCGGGCCCAGGTGTAACCAATTCTCAATTGCTTTTGATGAGGGTGAAGGAATAAATGGTAAATGAAGGAATGAATAATCCAAATTTTCTGCAGAGATTGGAATCTGGATGCAGAGTCCTTGGACTTTTGTCCACAGAGGATAGATTCTCTCACCTTGCAAGGGTTGAGACCTATGTCTCAGGTCTTTTACTGCTCTCTAGAGAAAGATTCCTTCCCGCAGTTGGGCTGAGAGCCCAGGGTATTGATCAAAACTTTCACATATGCAGGAATTTTAACTTCTGCTCAAATTTCTATCTCATAACCATGAAATGTCAGAGGGTCTGTGAGGGCCAGATCTGCAGGAAGTTCAGAGACAGAAGAGACATTATAGACCACAGGCTGAGATCAAACTCTGCTGACACAGCCAGGCAGCACCTGACTGTCCCCTCATTCTTTTCTAGATCATTCTTTGGATTCTCTGTATTATTTATTGGGTCACTGGCTCATGGCAGTTACAGTCACCAGGGAAGATCTGATCCACGTCTTTGCCATGAGGCCTGAGTAGTCACCTGACTGCTTTACTTGCTCCTGGTCCTATGTGTTATTTACTCTCAAACCACAGAGCCACCCTTATCCATCTCTAGGAGAATCTTGAGTATGGTGCCCCCAAGAAAACACACCTCACTGGGTGAAGGAGAAGTTGTAGTGGGAAGGAATCATCATTGGTTGGTCAGGCAATCAGCTGGTCAGTGAAGAGCCAGGAGAGGAATGGAGGGTGGTATTGAGGGCCCGGTGGTCTCTGATTCTCCTCCTCTGTCTTTTCAAAACCCAACGCTGCTAACGTATTGACACTTGAAAAAGTCTGTGCTTTCTCCCAGACATAGAGCAGGTGGCCTTACATTCTCTGAGAGCTCAGATCCTCAGGCATTTTTTGTGAGGTCCACAAACGTGCCTTATTCTTTGAAGGACTCAGGTTGGCTGAGTGGTGAGAGATGTCAACTCTCATTTGCTCATTTTTCAGTCACATCATTTGGTTTTGTTGTTGTTGTTGTGTTTAGCAGTTCTTTCTATACTCTGGATATTGACCCCTTATTGATACGCAAATAGCTAATTATTTTCTCCCATTGTGTAGGACACTTCCACTGTGTTGATTGTGTCCTTTACTGAACTGAAGGTTTCATTTTGACAAAGTCCAATTTATGTAGTTTTTCTTTTTGTTTCCTGTGTTCTTAGTGTCATAGTCAGGAAATCACTGCCAAATCCAATGTCAGGAAGGTTTCCCCCTATATTTTCTTCTCAGAGTTTTATAGTTTTAGGTCTCGTGTTAGGATTTGATCCATTTTGAGTTAAGCTTTGTATATGGTGTAAGGCAGCAGTCCAACCTCATTCTTCTGCTTGTGGAGATCCAAGTTTCCAAACTGTTTGTTGAAAAGACTGTCCTTTCTGCATTGGATGGTCTTGGCACCCTGGTCAAAATCACTGGATCACAGGGCAGAGGATTTTTTTCTGGATCTCTATTGTCTTCGAGAGCCTTACGTCTCTCTTCTTGTCACTGCCACCCTATTTTGATTCTTTAGTTCACTGGAAAGTTTTGAAATCAGGAAGTGTGACTCCTCACGTATTGTTCTCTTGTATAAAGATTATTTAACTAGCCCCTTGGATTTGAACTTAGATGTTTCTATTACTGCAAAAATTGCATTTGAACTATGATAAGGATTATATGAAATTTGTATATAGTTTGGGGTATATTGGCATCTTAACAATATTAACCCTTCCTTTCCATGAACATGGACGTCTTTCCTTTATTTGTGTCTTATTGAATTTCTTTCCGAATGTTTGGTAGTTTTCAGTGTGCACATCTTTCACCTTCTCAGAAAAGTGTATTCCTAAGTATTTTATGCTTTTTGATGTACTTGTAATTGGAATTGTTTTCTTCATTTCTTTTTTGGACTGTTCATTGTTATTGTATATAAATGTAGCTGATTTTGAATGTTGATTTTGTTTCCTGCAACTTTGCTGAATTTGTTTATTCGTTCAACAGTTTTTTTTTTTCTGTATGTGCGGTTGTAATTTTTAAGGTTTTCTACATATAAGATTATGTCTTCTGGTAAATAGATCATTTTTCTCCTCCTTTCCAATTTTGATGCCTTCTATTTCTTCTTCTTGCCTCATTGTTGTGGCTAGGACTCCTGTACTATGTTGAACGAGTGGTGAAAGTAGCATCCTTTTCTTTTTCATCATCTGAGAGGACAGATTTTTGTGTATCACCTTTGAGTATGAGTATGATGTTAGCTGTAGACTTTTTACTTATGACTGTTATCATCTTGAGTAGTTTCCATCTCTTCCTAACAGTCCCTGTCTTTTCTTAAAACCCTAACAACTTCTCTCTAGAGAGTTTCTTCCCTGTGGTATTCACTTCACAGGCCAGGAAGTAGAAGTCCTCCTTAGAGTGAGAAATCCTTTTGATCAGAAGCTCTCCAGGTCCTGATTGTGAAGATTGGGCAGGGCCATCCTCATTGTCTAATAAATTATTTAACAATCAGGTAATGCCTTCCAACTTTATGTAACATTCTCTTGGACCCAGACATGGACAGAGCTGGCAAAACTGCCTACTCCAATACACCCAGAAGTGTCTATAGGGAAGGTGGCCTGATCTTTTATGAAGTCAAAGAAAGTTTTTGGAAAAATCAATCACATCTCGAGAGAGAAAAATTCCTCCTGGTGATGACATCATAGAATCCATTGGATGAGAATAGGTTCCTGGTGCTGATCCTACAGAGATGTCCGGGGGACCCACCAGGGTCATCCTGCGATGATATAGGAATCAAACGGGGAGGTGGTGCCCCCTTATTACAGATCATCACTTGATCAAAGGCACTCATCCTTCTGCAGGGGTCAGGGCCATCCTCTGGGTCACCTACACAGAGTGGCTGAGATCTCTGAGGAAAGAGCATTGCCCCATGCCCCAGGCCCACTCTCTGTAACTCATCTCCACTGTTTCTCTACAGAGCCAGTGTCAAAGCCCTCCACTGGAATCGTCAAAAGACGTAAACACAGCAGATACATCACATAAGGAGCCTGTGGTCCTGACCAGCCTCACGAATGACTCTGGGATCTCCATCCTGTGGTTCGTCCATGACCAGAGTCTGCAGCTCACAGAGAGAATGACACTATCCCAGGACAATAGAACCATCACCATACACCCCATTGGGAGGGAAGATGCCAAGCTTATCATGTGATGTCTCCAACCCAGTAAACTCCAGCAAAAGTGACCTCCTCATGCTGGATGTGAAATATGAGTCTGACCCTCTGGCTCTCTTACCCTTGTCTATCTTATTAAACTCTGAAAAGATTTTTTTTTCCTAATCTGTAAGATGATGATTCTGAAGCACTTTTCAGTAGAGTTGTAATAGTCAATTATCAAGGTGGAAATTCCTTAGAAGACTTGCATTCAATCAATAAATGCTCAACAATCTTATCTGACTTTGTCATTATGTTGGCTTGGGGTCACTTTCCAGTCCAGATCCTAGGTCTTGTTGGTCTCAGTTATACCATCTCCACAGTGGAATGCCAGGCAGTGCTTGTGCAATGAGAGGTGAGAGCCCACAATAAGCTCTCAGGGTGAGGTAAGGATTCTGAGCACTGGGCAGACATATATGTTGAAGGAGGAACAACTGGAGCTGTTGCAGTGAAGTTGGGGTGCCATCCTTCCAGATATGGAGGGACATGAGGGGTGAGACATAGGACTGGGGGAAAAGGATTATTTTCTTGGAGACTGATTAGTGCCCTGACACAGAACAAGATGGACTGTCAGACATGCAGGGTGAAGGGGACATGGGACAGAGTACAACGGGGTGAGGGAGATGAGTACCCAGTGGGGTCTAGGAGTCTGGGGAACAATGAAGGATTGGACAACAGTGGACACCATGGATGCAGAATACTTGAGATGAGGGCATTTGGGAAATGAAGTCAAAAAGTGAGTTTGCGCATGGCTAGTCAGACTAGAAAAGAGATCTGGAAAGAAGCCTGGGGGAAAGTGGGGAAGGCAAGACAGGAGTGGTAGTAGGGAGCAAATAGAGGGCCACCCTTTTCCAGTCTCCAGTTCTGACCAGGTGAGACATATTCAGGTTGCTCTTAAAGGCTGGGAGCACTTAGAAAAGCCAGGTGCCACCCTTGTCCCCTGAGACCTACTTCAGTTTAGTGAACAAGTAAGCCATGTCCCCAGGGGATTTGTGTATGAGTGAGTGAGCATCAATAGGAGACTGGCACAGGGAGGAGAGGAGAGATATGGGGGTGAGGATTGAGGACAGAATGAAGTTGGAGTCTTTGGAGCCTTTTCCTTCTTTGCTGACTAGTCACAGTGAAGTTCGCACAAGTCCACAGGTGAGAGCTCTGTCACAGTTGTCAGTGAGGAGTCTTTGGTGCCATGAAGGTATGGGCACCTGTCCTTCTCTGATCCAAGAGGCACCACTTCCATTGTTGATCCACCTGCTCTCCCAACCTGATTTATGTCGGTGGGTGTGATAGAAGCCAAATCATGATGAGGAGTTCTGGCTCCCTGGTCACATTCTTCCCATGTTCTGACACTCTAACTCTCCCAAGATCTAGGAGGAGTTCAGGAGATGTTTTTCTATTGCTGCAGAAGGCATGGCATTGTTCCCTAACCCTAGAAGCCTGCATGGAATTCTCCCCCAAGGGCCTACCAGAGGCTCCATAAGCACCTTTCACCCTTCTAATGTGGGTTGGATGGAGGTAAATGTGCAGGAACTTGTGCTTTTCCTCGGAGGGCTGTCCAGCATGCCAGAGACTACTGGAGCCTTGAAACCTTCCCATTTGAAGCAGATCAATGAATGGTCACAGATGTGGATGACCCTACAGCCCACAGAACTCTCACACTTTGCTTAAGTTGTTGATTACTAGAGCTGACCCTGTCTCTGATGTCATTGTCAATCCTGATGTCATCAACTTCCTCTGGCATCCACTTCCACCCTTTGGTGCATATCTGTCTTACTAAGAGATTCAGAATACTTGCCATTTCTTGTTCTTCATTAGCAGGAATGCTTCTAGTTCTCAACATTGAGAATGATATGAGTTGTAGGTCTGCAGGATTTTTATGACTTGAGTTGATGTGGAATTGACTTGGAGGATGAACACATCTATTTGCTTTGCTAGGTATGGCTGGCTCGTGGGCTCACAATGTATCCTTCTAATAAGTAGGCCCTGTCTTAGGTTTAATGCTTTGCTTTTGCTGTTTTGAAATTTTTCATTATTTTTGAACAAGGAGTTTTGATTTTCAAGTCCAGTGTTGTCACAAATCAAAGAAAGAGAACATCCAATAAGAGGGAGCCAGGACTGGCTTTGTTCACAGTGTGAATATCCAGAAGAGAATAGTTTCATTGTTCTGGATACAATTCACTGTACAACCAATATTAATCTCCTTGTGGTTGTAGGTCATTCACATCAAAACCATATGCCCCTCTGGGAAAGCCTTGCACACCTGATTAAGATCCTTCCTGGTAGCCTGGCTATCTTAGATCTTTGTCCATATGACATGATGGGGACTCACTTGTTTTCTCTGTTTGTTTATTTGACATCAGGCGCATAGAATTGAAAAATCATAATCCTTGGCTCACAACCCAGTAGCATCACCAGTCCATACACAACCTGCTTTCCTTTATAGAGAGGTATTCGTTATTTATCTTAATTTTATTTATTTATGTACTTTTTTTGAGGAAGATTAGCCCTGAGCTAACTACTGCCAGTCCTCCTTTTTGCTGAGGAAGCCTGTCCCTGAGCTAATATCCATACCCATCTTCCTCTACTTTATATGTGGGATGCCTGCCACAGCATGGTATGCCAAGTGGTGCCATGTCCACATCCAGGATCTGGGCCGGCGAACTCCAGGTTGCAGAGAAGCGGAATGTGCGCACTTAACTGCTGCACCACCGGGCCGGCCCCACACCTTGATTTTATTTTGACTTACATATTTGAAACCTGTAGTTGCAGCTTCCAGAAGATCTCCAAGTGCCGGACTGGAGGTTCAGCTCACTAAGGAGACTCTCTCCACTTCCTGGATGAAAAATCTTGGAAAACAAGACCTTGTGCTGGTGTGTCTGCACCCTCTTGGTAGAGCCAAGCTGGGGACCAACTGGCTGTATGGCCCTGAGTGCGAGGATAGCCTCCAAGTGCATCTCACAAGAACCACTTTCCTCTTCCAAACATGAATCTGCTGTCAGAGCTTCTGGGAAATTCTGTCCTCAGCTTCCCAGGCTTTCATTTATGTTTCAGGATTTATAACGAATGAGTTGCGAATCTGTGATGTCTATCCTGGATCTCAAAGGGCATCACCAATGTAACACGTCCACAACCGAGACCTTTATTACCCCACCGCCCAACCAGACCTTCCCAGAGTCTTTCTCTTTTCAGTGAAGGTCAAGTTCCCTGGGCTCAGTTTGAAAATCTTGCCATTATCCTTGATGGTTCTGTTACTCTCTCCCTAATCTTTAATCCATATGCAAACCCTGCCATCCACTCCAGAATATGAATAGAATCCAAACGCTCAGGTCCAAAACACCACCACTCATGCATTGGGTTATTGTAATAGTCTCCTAATGGGTCTTCCTACTGCCTCCTTGTTCCCCCTTCCCTTACCCTTGTCTCCTTACAGTAAGATCTCTGAATCCACAAAGATGAATTTCTTTAAAGCCCAGATCAGGTTATTCTTTACCTGCTCAAAGCCCTCCTCTTGCCCACATCTCGATCACATCAAAATCCAACATCCTCACCAAGGCCCACAGGCCCAGGTTAGGGCTCCTCAAAGTGCTGGTCTGCACCAAGTCAGGGAGTTTCCACTGAAAGTTCCATCACTTCTGTGCTTGGGTCGAGAAAGTTTTACAATGAAGAATGTGTCAGCTGAAATAAACAGGGCACTTAGCCATGTGTTTGGTCTACTTTCTGGCCCAAACTCCTTGGCTCCTTGCAGATCACCCTTTGAGTAGCAACATCCTGTACAATGTGGCCCCTGACTAGGTTCTCTTGTCATCTTCTTCATGCTGTCTGTGGTCTTCACCATGTCTTCCTGACCCTCAAGGAAATTCCTGCCCCAGGGTCGCTTCACTGGCTATTCCCTCTCTTTGGAATAATCTTCCTCCAGAGATATGCATGACTAGCCCTCCCTTCCTGCAGGTGCCACTCAAACCTTGTCATTGTGAATTTCCTGACCATCTCATATAAGATAGAAAGACCTCCATCAACCCAGCCGCTACTTGTTTCCTCCACTCGCATTATTTTCCTTTAGAGGAATTACCATCACCTGAAATACTGCTCAGTCTATCTTGATTTCCTCTCCCTCTTCAGCAGAACATCTGCTCCCTGAGACCAGTGACTGGCTGTCAGGTTCACTTTAGTGTTCCCTGCAACCACTATAAGCCTGGGCAGAACATGTGCTTGTTGTTCAAAAAATGGGTTAATGCACATGTGAATAATTGCACACTGGGAATTGAATGCAGTCACTTCAACATCATTGTTGGTAAAATATGGATGATTCTGGCCCTGTCAACATGCAGGAGCCATGGAGGAATGGGCCTCATTCCTGATATCTGTTATTATGTACCAAAACACCCCAAACTTAAAATTGCTCAATGTCTGAAATGATGAGGGACCTGAAGTCCTGATACACTCCAGTCATGATAAGAGATGATAAATTTGTGCACAGGAGAGGCAGAAGAATAAAATCTTGGGCAAAGCTCTCTGCAGGAAGAACACTGGTGTCTCTGTGGAGGGTCCACGCTTCCAGCTTTTCGTGCCTTTCCTCCCAGCATCTCTGTGATGACCCTGAAGGAGTCACACTGTTCTCATGCTGCTTTTACAGAGAGCAAACAGAGACTCACACTGGTGTTCTCATTTAGCTCCATCTATGAGATGCAGTGAGTCCAGTCTCTCGGTTATCTGCAGATTCACACACTACATATATTAGACGCATGGATTAGTGTCTGGGTTCATTTTACTGAACGTTGTGTCTCTGAGATATAGCTATGTTGATGTGTGCGGTCACATTTCTCTGATTGTCATCACTCTCAGATTTTGACACTTCCGTAGGAAATGACACAATTATCATTATACAGGTAAGATCATTGAATGTCTGCGAGAAATGTTCTGGAAGTTTTGAAAGGAAAAGGTTCTCACACTTTTAAAAGCACATTATACTTTTCAAAGGGTAATATCTTTACTGTTAATAAGGGGTAATGATTATTTCCTTTTCCTTAAGGACAAGCTCATTACTCTTAAATACCTGGATGTTGTATTTTGAAAGAGATATGAATCTTCTGTTTTTTGAAAGGCCATATAAGTTTATTTTATACATGACTTCATTAATTACAAAGGGTGATATACTATCATTTATCCAAAGCGGGTCATTAAATCTTTTAAAAAATATTATTTGTATTAAAGATAAAGCTGTTATATGCTTAAAGACAAGAT